TATAAATAACACCATTACAAATGTCCCCCTCTCTGCAAGTGGTGCCTGTCCCAGTGTGATGCTTGCTGAGATCATGGTTCTGTTGTGTACGGTGTGTTGTGTGCTTGAGATACGTGTTCTACACTGTGCTGGACTCACGGTTATTGTCACGGTTCTTCCGGAGTAACAGCGCGAGCTGAGCGCTGTTGTGCACGCGCGGACTTCTTAGTTTTTCTGCTGCGTCCATGGTTGAGGCGGTTGAATCGGTCACGTGGCGTAGATAGGATGCAATTGCAGACGAACGGTGAGTTTTATTTACAAAGTGATGTTAACAGAAACAGAAACAAGAAACATAAGTCTCAATAAACTAAGCTAGGCTAACTATGACTATGGCTGTGGCTGTAGCTAATGCTAATGCTAAGGTTAAGGCTAAGGCTATGGCATAAACAGGACATGAAAGAATTACTCTCTAAAGTCGCACTCACGCTATACATGGCATACATACATATATTCAACGCATACATCCGTTCAAGCATTCAACCGCGCCGTGTGAAGCACGGCTTACGCTATATATCCACACAGTCATTAACCTGCAATAGCTTCCAGCTGCGGGCACTTCCGCATACGTCACACATGACGTGAGGGGGCGAAAACACAACGTCACCCCGGAAGAAGTCCGCGCGTGCGCAACAGCACTCAGTTCGCGCTGTTACTCAGGAGAACCGTGACAGTTATGTTTCCGCCAGCAATTCCAACTGAACTAAATATTCATCTAATATTTGCAAAAATGTAATTGACTCTGATTGTCTTTATACTCACATGGGTATGCTGATGAATATCAATCAGCTAAAAATGTCCAAAAACGTTTGCGTCACAGCTGATTCATATTTAGACAAAATGCCAAGTACAGAGTGAAAAGGCACCACTATGCTTGTTGTGCACTGAGCCTTCCAATAATGCAGCTCAGCCACCACAGCATGGCAACTACCATACATACACACACACTAACTTTTACTCCTTTTAGGACTCCAGTGGCAACTTGGTGAAGCTCTGGTGAACTCCATGCCCAAGAGGGTTAAGGCAACGCTGGAAAATAATGGTCCCCACACAAAATATTGACACTTTGGGCCCAATTTGGACATTTTCACTTAGGGTTGTACTCACCTTTGTTGCCAGCGGATTAGACATTAATGTCTTGAGTTATTTTGAGGGGACAGTAAATTTACACTGTTACGCAAGCTGTACACTCACTACTTTACATTGTAGCAAAGTGTCATTTCTTCAGTGTCCTCACATGAAAAGATATCATCAAATATTTACAACAATGTTAGGGGTGTACTCACTTTTGTGAGATACTGTATATCTCTTAAAGAGAAATCTAAGCTTTCTCATGATTCATCATTAAACAAATTTAGCCTTCATTTCATAATGCTGTTACCAATGTAAATTTTTTGTTTAGTTTAAAACTCATTCTGAATTTTTGTGACTTTTCCTTCAGTGTCTGTTGTGTGAACGGAGGTTGTGTTTTCCATTTTCAGTGCTTTATGTAAATTCAGACACATTTTTGTTTTTCTTTCTGTCTCTCTCTCTCTCTTTTTTGTTGCTGCAAAGAATGTTTTACGAAATCCGAATCGGTTGTTTTCAAACTTGACTGAAAGAATGTATTTGATTCTCATGTAGATAGCCTCCCTACCACACAGAAAACATGCAGTCTAACCTGTCTGAAAACGAAACTAGCTTTACTGCAGTAAAAGAGACTTTAGAATCAAATACTTCTAAAACCTTAATGTCTTTCTACCGAGTCACACACACCACATCAATAATGTTAGTCCAAATAAAATCCTCGAAATATAATATAACGGTAGGTAGGCTACTTACCTTTGATAAATCAACTGAAGGAAGTGTTCTCCCTTTTTAAATTCTGGTTACAGTTCTAGTTCTCTATCTAATATCTAAAGGCCACGTGACTGCACTTGTGTTCAGTGTCAAAATCTAACGCAATGAACACAAGGTGGATATGACCGACAACAAATCAAAGCATATTAAATATTAATCATAGGAATTCTGAGACACAGCAAGCCATTTGTTGGAAAGTAATTCAGTAACAGCAGCAGTCTTTCACTTCTGTACTGGGGGGAAAAAATGCAGTAAGCACGTGCTCCAGGTGCAGTTTGTGATTAGTTCATCAGAGCTCGCGCTCTCGTGTGGCCAATCGGATTAAGAATAGACCGAGCAACATGTCGCCAGGTAGAATTAATAAATAAATGCATCGAGCACAGAGTTTTATTTGAGAAGCAAATTTGCATAAGGAGCAGGAGTTATGCCTTGTTCACACTTTCTCTGTTTGCAGTGCGGTACTGATCCACGGTAGAACATACTCAGAAAAGGACATGAAGGTGGAGGGTGACAGGACTCTGAATGAAGTCTAGAGCAACACAGTAGAGTAACACAATCATTCATAGACGTAATCATGTTTAAACACAATACATATAAACAATATGATATTCCATTCATTACTTCTATTGAGATGTATTATGTTGCTCAAGCAAGTGGCGAAACATTTGAACATGGCCCTTCTCTTACAAACATTTTAAATGAAAACTGACAATCCACACACACTACCTCCCTTGTCTTTTCTTTTGCATTTAATACTTTATACAAGAAATCCTGTGGATCATACAAAACTTTCTCCGAGAACCAGCCTGGCATGTGATTGCTGCTAAACCGGTCTAGATCGGGCTGCAACATACAATTAAAATAAACAAAGATAAGGGTTGGCGAGACCAAGATTGTGTTTGGTTTGTTTCATTCTCCAAACAGAGCACCTTTTATATACACAGTGGTGTCACTCTTCAGAAGCTGGCCAGGCCAAAATAATAAACAAATATACCCTCTAACTTAACCAAAAGAAAACTAACTAAACTACAAGAAAAGAAAACAAAATACACCGTCTTCCCTCAATCCCTAGCTAACCCCAAAACAGGAGAAAAGAAGAATCAACATAAATGGTGTCGACTTCCTACTAACCACTCCTAACAGTGCACTATTTACAAAAGTGACTATTAGTGTGTTTATTAAGGAAAATGATATATACATATGTATACACAAGGGTATGACATGAATCGTAACGGGGCAGAGCATAAACAAAGTCAAATCAGGCATAGGGTCATACACAAGTGAAACGCACTTCTCTCTACACACAGCACAAATGGCAGTGATATGCCCTGGGGTGGAGACTGACGAGGCTTAAGAACACTTCCGGAAACGTGCAGCCAACCAATCCTAGCGCACAAGGCCGGAGCAGGCGTGGACAAGATGTGATGATCCACAAGCAAGCCGGAACGTAGCCATGCAGTAGGAGGGGCCTAGAGAAGGGGGAGGAGACAAAAGAAACCCATCCCACCACCGGCACACAAATGGCACACAAATGGCACATAGAGCAAACAGAAATACATTGGAGAACGTAACCTGCTGAGATGTGAGTGTCACCCACATACAGTATAACAAGCTGTGTAGTGTATTTTTGTGTTTGACTTTTTTTGGCTGAGTGTCACATGGTGACACTCGCATCTCAGCAGAAAGCAGCAATCATGTGACACGCTGTTTATCGGAGAAAGTTTTGTATGATCCACAGGATTTATTGTACAAAGATTTAAATGCAAAAGAAAAGACTCGACTATGGGGGACTCGACTATGATTGGGTGTATGCTTCCCATACACCCAATCACAATCCTTTATATACATATTTTTATTTGTATTATATTGTATTAACTGTTACTTTTATATGTTTGTGTCTATTAGTCAATTATATGTAGAGAAAAAATGACAAATATTTTAAAGGTCTAGTTGTTATCTTAATCATGTGGTGCCCCCCACTGGCTGGTGCACCAGGGCCCTTGCCCAGTCCCATATATGGATAATCTGGCCTTAATAAGGAGTTATCAAAAACTAAGGAGATATAATAAATAAATAAATAAATAAACAAATAAACAAATAACCCAACAAAACACAATTTTGCTGATATTTTTGGAATAGAGTTGCTAAAATGTTTAATATTTTTATAAGTATTTGGTTGGAAATGTGCAATAATTATTATGGAAGCCACACCCTGTAGTCTTTCCCTGCATACTTTACAGTGATTGTGATGAACAATCTGCAAAAATGTTCACATACACATTTTTATTTGAATATCCTTCCTACACCTAATTTGTTTTCACTTTCTTTACTCAAGAATCAATTTCCTGACTTCCTTTATACTCTTAACACATAACAGAGCTTTAGAGAGTGTGTTTTGAAAGTGTGTAAAAGAGTGTATGGAGTCCGACAGTTTCTTTGTAAGCCACCTCGCTTTGTTGATAATAAAGTTTGTTTTATGGCATTGAAAATCACAGAAGTTTTTATTTTCGTTGAAGTTTTTATATATATGCCCCCTGACCACTACCAACCAGGGAGGTCTATGGCTATCACACGTTTTCTCCAAGACACGTGAAGCTAGCCGACTGCATCTTTTCGAACTACCGCTCATGCATTGTCCGGGGACATCGCAACACACTTGGAGGAAATCAGTATCTCTACACTTCCTCATGTATGAACTCTCAGATGCTCATGACTGGTTAGTAATAGGTGAGAGAGGGCGTGGCAGCGTCAGGATTCAATCTTGCAATCTCTGGATGATAGGATTTTCTTTTGCATCACTCAGGAGCCCAACTGTGAGATCAAATATCTCCAGCAGCTCCTGGGTCTTCCCCGGGGTCTCTGTCCTCTAGGATTTGCCTAATGCACCTTTAAGACTTATTGTTTGTAATTTTATAGTATTAGGATGTTCTATTAAAAGATGCCAAAATGTCTGGACCTGTCTGTTCATATCTGTGAACAAATTAACAGGTTCATTAAAAAAAGAAAATAAATAAATGAATGAGAAGGTGCATGTTAGAGACAAAGGACTCTCAGATTATGTCTTTAGATCTCCGTCAGCCCTTTCAGCCTGTTTTACGATTACTTCTGTTAACTTTTAGTTCTGGGGCGCACGGTGGTTAGTGGTTAGGACGTTCACCTCACACCTCCAGGGTCGGGGGTTCGATTCCCATCGTGGCCCTGTGTGTGTGTGTGGAGTTTGCATGTTCTCCCCCGTGCTGTGGGGGTTTCCTCCGGGTATTCCAGTTTCCTCCCCCAGTCCAAACACATGCATGGTAGTCTGATTGGCGTGTAGTGCATGAATGGGTGTGTGAGTGTGTATGTGTCTATATAATAAGTCTACTATAATAAAGATGGCAGGTGATCAGCTTATTCAAAGAGGTAATTAAATGTATACATTCATTATAGGTATTTGATAGCGTAGAGAGACACAAACAAAAAACTATAGCCCAGTATTCAGAGTTCATAATATAACAGCGTACATAATATGAGATAATTTCGTTACAAACCCTATTTTAAGTCTCAGCCTGTTTTTATTTTGCGCGAAAATCTCCCAATGGTTCATTGGGAGCTAGTTTATTTTCTTAAAGAAAACAATGATCGGTATTAGAATGAGCAGGACAGCTGACACCGTGAACCAGAAAGATGCACCATACGCATGTTCTAACTTTACCTTAAGATTTTTGTTCTCATATTGCTCATCTCTCAGTTTAATTGCCATCTCATTCACCTTCCTCCTCTCCTCCATCTTCATCTCTTCTTCCATATGTTTCCTCTTTAATTCTTCTTCATGTCTGATTTTTGTCTCTCTGCTATTACTACACTCTTTTGTGTAAAAGTAACCCATGTTCTTGTGTAGTATTACATTTATCTTTTTAAATAACTCTGTGACTTGAGTGCGGTTACTTTTATCATAGTTGTCAAAAACATGATATCTACCTTTGCAGGTATCTACAAGATTCTGGAGATCATAACTATTACTGATAAACTTCTCCACTGGTTTCCCTTCCAGAAGATCTCCACCAGTGAACAGAATCATGGTGAACTTCAGAGCTTCTTCTCCAAAGTTCTCCTGAATCCACTTCACAGCATTCCTCTCCTCCACCGTGAACCTTCCCAGTCTGATCACCAGCAGGAACACATGAGGATCAGGAGAAGACATGGAGATACATTCATGTGCATTCTTGGCCGTTTGGTTAGATATTAACCATGTGTCCATGACACCAGGAGTGTCAATTATGGTGATGTTTCTTCCATCCAGGACTTTGTTCTTCTTTACACAGCTTGCGGTCACAGATGCAGGAGATGCCTCGACTCTGAAGGCCTCTTCACCCAGGATGGTGTTTCCTGATGCGCTCTTTCCTGCCCCTGTTTTCCCCACCAACATCAGTCTAAGCTCATGATGATTTATCTCTTGTCCTAAAAAGCAGATAAACATAAAGGTCTACAGATACTGTGTATATAACAGAATCGTATTATTTTATCATATTAAATATTATATTACTGATGTGACAACTTTAGAGTGAAAATTGGATTGGATATTTGGTAGCTGTACTTTGATCGATGTTTACCTTTGAAAGTTAAGTGCAATCCAACACACAGTGGAACCAGAACCAGCACAGAGGCTATCCAAATGAAAGAATTCATGTTTTTCTACAAAAAATAAAAGAGGTAAAATTGTGTTTGAGGCAATAATATTTTATAATTAGGCAGTAGAAACACCGAAAACGTGATAAAGATGATTGATTAAGTAGCAATTATGTTTATATTTAGCGAGCACATTCTGATCTTTGGGCTAAACAAAAAGCATTCCAATGTGAAAACTTAATTCTAAATGATAAGATAATTATATAAAGACTATCTCACTTATAAACTGAAATAGTATGATTGTAAGTAAGTTTTCCATAAAATTATACTAACCTTTAATTTTCTGTTATTATGATCTGCCTCCTGAAACGATTTCTCAAGTTCAGAGTTCTTTTCTTCCATTTCAGTCTTCTCTTTAATCTCCGTCTTTAACGATCTCTCAAGTCGTACATTCTCCTCTTCCATTTCAGTCTTCTCTTTAATGGCCTCGTCTAACACTCTCTCAAGTTTCTTGTTCTTTTCCTCCCTTTCGGTCTTCATTTTCTTCTCCACCTCTAATGCTTTCTCAAGTTTCTTGTTCTTCTCCTCTATTTCGGTCTTCATTTTCTTCTCCAACTCTAACGCTCTCTCAAGTTTCTTGTTCTTCTCCTCTATTTCGGTCTTCATTTTCTTCTCCACCTCTAATGCTCTCTCAAGTTTCTTGTTCTTCTCCTCCATTTCGGTCTTCATTTTCTTCTCCACCTCTAACGCCCTCTCAAGTTGTTTGTTCTTCTCCTCCATTTCGGTCTTCATTTTCTTCTCCTCCTCTAACGCCCTCTCAAGTTGTTTGTTCTTCTCCTCCATTTCGGTCTTCATTTTCTTCTCCACCTCTAACGCTCTCTCAAGTTTCTTGTTCTTCTCCTCCATTTCGGTCTTCATTTTCTTCTCCACCTCTAACGCTCTCTCAAGTTTCTTGTCCTTCTCCTCCATTTCATTCTTCCTTTTCTTCTCCACTTTCAACGATCTCTCAAGTTTCTTGTTGTTCTCCTCAATTTGGTTCTTCATTTTCTTCTCCTCCTCTAACGCTTTCTCAAGTTGTTTGTTCTTCTCCTCCATTTCGGTCTTCATTTTCTTCTCCTCCTCTAACGCTTTCTCAAGTTGTTTGTTCTTCTCCTCCATTTCGGTCTTCATTTTCTTCTCCACCTCTAACGCTTTCTCAAGTTGTTTGTTCTTCTCTGTGATATCCTTTAACTTGTCGTACATGTTTCTCTTCTCCTGTCCTTCTCCTTGTTTCTGTATTTGTCTGTTGGAAAGTGTTAACTATTTACTTGTAATATCACTTTTATAATGAATTATACAGTTTTATATTTAATGAGATTAATAAAAGAAATATGCAAAAATAAAGTATGTCATAAAAATCAAGCATGTAAGTTAAACTGCACAATAAATAGCACCAGACAGATTAATATGGATAATAACCAATCAGAATAACAAGACTATTTTGGGGGAATCGAGACATACAGCACAGTAGGTGTTGCAGAATTGTTACCATTCTTACATTTCCTAGCAGAAGTCTTACCTTGAACTGCTCAAATCATCACGTTCAGCCTCATTAAAGTTGGGTGGTAGGTCTGAAGATTCATAATCTGTTTTCTGCATGTTTATATAACTTTGTTCTTTTCCTGATTGACTGTTGGGCCCCTGTCTATTTCATTTACAAAAAAAAGAAAAGAAGAAAAAAACTCATGTTCACATAATATATTTGAGAAAATATTCATACCATTATGAATTTATTCACAGTTTTACAGACCTCTTTGCAAGCCGTGGTGGGTTGGTCCTAGTTGTGTTTTGTGCAAAGGAGTTTGAATTAGTGTCAGACTTGGTGTCGGAGACATCCATGACACTGGTGGGGAAATAATTCAGAAAAGAATCTAAAATTAATTTAAATTTGAACAGAACTGGGCTGGCTTCTTTCACAGAGCAACAGTCTGAACAACCAGAGCAAAGTGAGAGGATCTTAACCCTCTGTATAATTTGATTATTTATAAATAACACCATTACAAATGTCCCCCTCTCTGCAGGTGGTGCCTGTCCTAGCGTGATGCTTGCTGAGATCATGGTTCTGTTGTGTACACTGTTCTACACTGTGCTGGACCCATGGTCATGTTTCTGCTGGCAATTTCAACTGATCTAAATATTCCTCTAATATTTACAGAAATGTAATTGACACTGATTTTCTCTATACTCACATGTATATGTGGATAAATGCCAATCTGCTAAAAATGACCAAAAGTGTCCCTGCTGATTTATAACTCTACATAAAAGGCAACCCTCACAGAGAGATAAAACAACAAAATGCCAACTAAACAGTGAAAAAACACCCCTAAACTTGTTGTGTACTAAGCCTTCCAATAACAACTCTGTCAGATCAAACTTATGAAAACTGGAAGTGAAAATTAACATATTATATAATAACAAATACAGCTATATTTTTTACACGCCAACGTGAAATGAGAAAACACCTTTTTGAAACAATGTGCTTTACTCTAAATACTAGAATTATTTAACATACGAATGAAGTCAAACTGGATACAAATAAATTTACCCACAACAAAAAGGAGGTATTAATGAAAATCCAGATATCAACATGCACATGTGATTATGAAGGCACTCAATGTTATTGAAACTATTTGGTTCGGCCTATGAAAACATTTACACACTTTACTAAAACATTGATAAATACGTCCTAATGATTGTATTGTATATATATATATATATATTTAAAAAATATACCCACGTTTCTCTTCAGAGAAAGTCTTTGGTTTAGTTTCTCTTTATTCACTTTGCTGCACGTTTAACTCCTGTAAACGCTGGAATTTGGACTGTACTCTAGTTTAATTGTTTTATTCTCATATATACCTACCATATATCTACACAAGGAAATCCTGCAAGCCACACATCATGAATCTGGGTTTGGAGAGAGGGATAAAGGTCAAATGTGTACCAACATCAGTTGTTTACATTGGATTGAATTGAGGAAGGTATTAGAAGGCTTAACATTTCAAACTTTCTCAACTTTTGTCACTATTTCTTTGTATTTATTTTCATATTTACTTTCCTTAAGAAATTTTTGCATTATTTTTTGTAATAAATCATCAAAACAACAAACTTTTTTTGCAACCTTGAAATAAGGTTCCGGTTTTCAGTTCTGTTACAAAGTGTGTGTGTGTGTAATGTGCACTCTTCCTTCTTCACTACAGTCCCCCTTTATAAAGCCCGTCATAAAAGAACAAACTTGCAGCTTCACAGCATTGACACCGAGCAAAACAATGTAAAAAGTCTAATTACAGGGGGAAATTAAACAAATGGGGTGCACACATGGTTGAATCACATCTCCAGGGTCGGGGTTTGATTCCCACCGTGACCCTGTGTGTGCGGAGTTTGCATGTTCTCCCCGTGCTGCAGGGATCAACTCAGGAAATGCCATAGGGATGTTCAGAAACAGATAAAAAGTCATAAAAATACATAGTGTATTAAGTACTAAAATGTATAAAGAGGATACTGCAGTTAATAGCTAGCAGCAGGCAAGTCTGTTTGCTGAGCAAAAAAACACTT